GGGGGGGGGGGGGGGGGGGGCGCCGCTGCGCTTCCCAAGCGGCGCACTATCCAGTGCGCCACCAGGCCGGCCCTCTGTATACTTTTCTGTATTGCTTAAATTAGCTCTATGAATGAGTGTTCACTTCATAATCAGAAAAAAAAAGTAAAGTTATTTTCATTTTGGGGAAAAAAAAAAAGTCACCAACCTCCCAAGTGAAAACTCAAGAATCAGTCCCCTGTATTTTTTTTATTGAAATAATTGATTATACATATTTGTGGGTCAGTCCCTGTATTAAGTGATAATGAGCAGATTTCTTTTTGTGGCCTTTCTCTTTGATGATTTTCTGCACGATTGTAAGATTTCTAGAGTGACATTTTATATCTGAGTAGAAGCAATAATGAAATATTTGACTCTGACTTGATTTCTTCATTAATAGAAGGACCAAAATTGCTTTGTCAGTTAATCTGTAGAATATACTCTAAGACCTGTGCATAATAGAAGTACTTATGGATATGAAACAATCATTTTTATTTAAATAATTTACAATAAAGGCACATAATGTATAAGTCTTAATCAGATGGTAATCAGTGTTCTCTTTCCTGTCTGTCTCCAGATGTATCAGAACATGGATGGCCATAATTCAGAACATCCTTCCATCTACCAAAACAGGCGACCTTTTAGCAGAGAGATGGATTCAGGGCCACCCTCTCTACAGGCTCAGGTTGAAGATTTGTAGAGAAACAATTTAGTCTTAAGGACTTCATCCCCACCCCCACGCCCCCGCCTACCTTAAACAGGCTGTAGATAACCAAAACAAGATTTATTTCATCATTAAAAGAAAATATATTACCAACTGCTGCTTCGCCGGACTTTTCTCTAGAAGCTGTCTGCATTTACTCTTGTTTTGAAAAGGACTTTTGTAAAATCAAATCATGGTGTGTGCAAGGCAGGAGGAGCCAGTAATTCACTTCATTGGAGCGCTGACCTGCGTCCAAGGCTTTTCAGGCTGGCTTGGGTGGAAATTGGGTACCCGAAATGTAGTATATTCTTGTAAATACACAAAGCAAACCACTTGCTAAGGAGAAGCTAATATGATTTTTTAAAATCTATGTTTTAAAATAATATGTAACTTTTTCAGCTATTTAGTGATATATTTTATGGATGGAAATAAAATTTCTACTATAGAAAAGTTCGTCATTGAATTATTTACATGGTATATTTAGGGCAAGACAACGAGATTGTGTGCAGTGTTTTGTTTGTATGTGTGTGTTTCTGTTGAGAAGTCCCATTCCATGAGATTTTTTGGGTTTTTTTTTTTTTTTTTAAGTTTACCTTATTTCGCTGGCTGGCTGGCTGGCTGGGGGGTTAAACCCTTGCCTTTGGTGTTATAAGGTGGTGCTCTAACCAACTGAGCTAACCGGGCAGCCTTCTCCACTGAAACCTCGTGAGGGCTTTTTGTCTAGATCATCTGGTGGGCTCTTTTTAACAGAGTCTACCTACTGTAAGCTGTTATCTATCTTAAGTAAATGTCCTATCTTTTCAGTGGATTTTTAAAAGTTTGAAAGCAGGTATGATTTATACCAATTTGTATGCTTAACTCCTATATAATATTTGTATATACAGGCAGGATGCAATAAATGTATGTATTCAAGTAAAAGCATAAAATATGCTTGATATTAAAAATGCAAATCATTTTCTACTTTTACTTATGTAATAAGTGAAATCCCTCTTTTATTCACACAACCCAAATACCAACATGCTTCTTTAGGAGAACTACTGTTAAAGCTTAAGGCATTTTTTCCCCCATCTTATTTAAGTGTATTTACATTATTCATACATATTTACACACACACTTCTTTGTTTTTTACATAAATGAATCACCCTAGCTATATTTTCAAATGTGCCTGTTGTTCCATACGATGTATCAACATTTACCTAAATATTTCTATTTGTGAGGCCCTTCTCAGTGTGCTAGGCACTATGTTAAGACCAATGCATATCTATGCATTATTTCATTTAATTTTTGTAACTACCTTACTAAGTAGGTACTAAAATTACACCAATATTTTTTTTCCCTGAGGAAATTGAAGCTGAAGTTAATAACTTGTAGTCTCCAAACCATGTTAACACTTCCCTTGAGATTACTCTTGGGTTCTACTTTAATTTTATTGCATTTATTTATTTTTTATTGTGGTAAAAAAATACATAAAATAAAATATACTATCTTAACATGTTTAAATATACAGTTCAATAATGTTAGGTATCTTCTTATGGTTGTGAAACATCTACAAAACTCTCTCATTTTGCAAATCTGAGACTCTGTGCCCATTAAACACTAACTCCCCATTCCTTCCTCCCCCAGTCCCTTGCAACCACAATTCTACTTTCTGTTTCTATGAGTCTGACAACTCTAGGTATCTCATATAAGTGGAATCATACAATGTTTGTCCTTTTATGCCTGGCTTATTTCATTTAGCGTAGTGTCCTCAAGGTTCATGTATGTTATAGCATATGTCAGAATTCCTTTGTTTTTAAAGTTGAATAATATTCCATTTATGCATGTACTATATTTTGTTTATCCATTCAACCATAGATGGACACTTGGTTGCTTCCACCTCTTGGCTGTTGTGAATAATGCTGTGAACATGGGTGTGCAAACATCTCTTCAAGACCCTACTTTCAATTTGGGGGGGGGCGGGGAACATATCCCCAGAAATGGGATTGCTGGGTCATATGGTAGTTCTATTTTTAACTTTTTGTGATATTTTTTATTTGTAAGAACCTGTTGTGGTGAGTGTGTATTTCTTCAGCCATCTTTGTCAATTCCCAGTTCACAGTAAGAGCACTGTGACTTGGGGTATTAACTTCTTCCTAGCGTATGCAGTTTGGTGGGACTTTAGTCAGGTAGCTTTGCCTTCTAGCCAAGTAGGGTCCTTGACCCACACTAGGATAATAAACTTCCTTTCTTGTGCTGGAACTTTGTACCTTGGCTAGATTCAAGCAAGGTTGGGAAAAGGAGTTGGAGCTTATTTATACAGTATCAGTTGTTGAGAAGAGTGACACAGTTCCCACTTCCTAGATTTCTGGAGCTGCTTTGTTCCCTCTTCTTTCCCAAGCCTTAGTCTCCAGTCTTTCTGTCAGCCACAATGTCTCTTTAGTAAGTCTTCTCTGCTGCAGTGAGCCCAAGTATGCCTCTGCTTACAACCTGAGAACCTTGACAGGTACCGCTGTCCTGACTCACAGGCTCCTCAGCAGGACTGGGAATTTCATCTGCTTTACCTTCTCTAGAAAGTCCCCTCTGCTTTGGTCTGCCCATGCATGGTCTTTCTAGCTTTGAGGAATATATGAATTTATTTTCATTTTTATATTCTTCTATTATCTTGATAGGATTTGAGGGGGGACTTGAGCCACAGGTGTTTGGTAAGCCCTCTTGAACTGCTTGTCCCACAATGATCGTTGGTAATAATAGGGAGGAAAATAAATGAATTTCCTTCTACCAGAGTGATTTTGCTCAGGACACATGCACACTTTGGACATGACTTCTCTGTGGATGGAGCCAAATAAATACGTTTATACCTGGACTCACCAATGGAGTACACCCCTTGTGTGCAGTGCTAAAGGATTCGATTTCCCTGTAAATGAATATTCTCTTGTTCGTGAGCTTTATAAAAATGGTCTCCTACTCTATGTAGACTTCCAGATCCTGCTTTCCTTACAAAAATCAGCATTCTCCTTCTAAGATTCATTCGTGGGATTACCTGGAGCTGAAGTTCCTTCATTTCACTGATGTACACTGTGAGTATGAAATTACCACTGTTTATTCATCCTCACACTAATGACATTTGGATAGTTTTTTGGGGTAGTGATTCAGAGGTGTTCTTCATATTATCATACTTTATAACACCTTTTGCATATGAAAATATGGTATCTAATAGGCAGCATTCTCTGTGAAATGATGGCACTTATAAACGTCTATAGGGAAAATGAAATTAGACTCATTAAACCCAACTCTTACCACACAGTTGATTTTAATTTGGGTTAAATTGTGTTACTGACATAAGTACTTATTTTTACCATCGCATAAAAATGCAACTTACAAGCACTAATTTTGGCCCAGTGTTGCTGTTTCACTGGGGCAGCCCCATCTGCTAGGCCTTTGTGGTAATCTTGCCAGTAGGTGACGCCCTAGCACTGCTGTTTTTTTTACTTGATCCCAGGCACCAGGCAAATTTTAAGTAGCAGAATTACAGAAAAGGTCAATGAGTTGCTTACAGGAAAGACAACTCTTTATACAGATAACTTGAATTCATTTGTTCGGTATCCAGTTGCTTTTTGACTAAGGTAACGAGTGTGCATTTTATGTGCGTTATCACATTCCCAGCATCAACTGAGCAGCCTATTGTCAGATGCTTTTATAGAGCCTGGTTTTTATCACTCTAATCTACACCGTGTATTCATTTGAACTTGTTCTTCTCAGAGCACCTTCCATGCTTAGGAAGTGTAACTAGTATGACTTTTGGAAATGTTTTGCACTTTCAGTTCTAAAGGGAAATAGCAATAATATCTTTATTTTTAAGTTCTGCCCCCTCCTTTTGTCTGACTTGACTTTCAACATTACTTTTGTTTGAAGTGTAACTAGTATGACTTTTGGAAATGTTTTGCACTTTCAGTTCTAAAGGGAAATAGCAGTAATATCTTTATTTTTAAGTTCTGCCCCCTCCTTTTGTCTGACTTGACTTTCAACATTACTTTTGTTTTGAGTATACAAGGGTACTTCAAAAAGTTCTTGGAAAAATAGAATTGAGAGATAATATGAATCTTTTCATAACCTTTTTGAAGTATCTGAGCACACCAGAGACATTAGGGTGTGAAATCTAACCTGTGTGGTCAATTGGCAATCTAATTCATCCTACAGTGTTTCTTGGTGCCTGCCATGGGCACAGTTCTAGGCACCCAGGATACAGAAGCAAGAAGATGCAAGGTTTCTAGGCTCCCAGGATCAGTAGGGTCTGAGCGGTGATATGCAAGTAAATAAATGCAATAAGCAAGGTGCTTTCAGATAGGGATAGATACATTCAAGAAGAAAATAATGCAGAATGGCATTTGAGAGACTACTGAGAACGGGGTAGAATTATTCCTTAGACACCTCATCCTGTTTAATGAACATTTGTTAAGTACCTATTGTGCTAAGCATTTGGGATACAGGGAAAGGGTAAAGCATAGTACCTGTCCTCTAAGGCAGCAGTAACAACAGATGGGAAGTCAAGTTCCAATTGGTTGACCTGTGTATTAGTCCGTTTTTGTGTTGCTATAACAGAATACCTGAGACTGGGTAATTTATAAAGAACTTGGCTCATGATTCTGGGACAGCTGCATCTGGCACAGGCCTCAGGCTGTTTCTACTCCTGGTGGAAAGTGGCTGGCAGTGGGCAGGTACAAGCAGATCACATGGCCAGAAGAAGAGAGTGAGGGGAGGTGCCAGGGTCTTTTAAACAACCAGCTCTAGCGGGAACTAATCACGGGAGAACTCACTACCCCCACTCCCCAGGGACAGCATTAATCCATTCATGAGGGATCTGCCACCATGACCCAAACAGCTCCCAACACTGTCACAGTGAGGATCAGATTTCCACATGCTTTTTGGGGGGACAATAACATCCAAAATCTATCGACTTGTAACCTGTGTGAATAATCAGGGAGAATTTCCCTAGGATAATGATGACATTAAAATACTAATAACACCAAAATTTTATGAGTATCTGGCTCGACCACTCAGTGAAATGTGGCCCCTCCTGGCTTTGATTATGGGAACGCTTTGATTGGAAATGTTCACCATGCAGAGATCTCTACTTCCTGGATTAGAACCTTAAGCCTGTGTTTGTTCATTACACACATATTCTGGATTAGCTTCTCCCAGAGGCATTAAAACATGCTAAACTGGTGTTTCATAAAAAGCAAGCTTGTGCATTCAGCAAATATAACCCGGTGAGCAGAGCTGGCATCCGTCACTCACCGAGAGGGGAGCTGGGCGCACTGCTGCCTGCAGTCGAACACAAGCAATGGACACTGAGAAGGTCAGCTCCATGGACTCTGGAGAATTTACGGACGTGTTTGGGAATGTCATTGAGAGGTGTCCTCTGATTGCAGCCACTGTTTGGTCTCAGCGCCCATTCTCTGACTTGGAAGATTTGGAGAAGCTCTTTTTTGCCTTTATTGACTCTCTTCTACAGGAAGGTAAGGCTTCAGTATTAGACATTCTTTGCAAAGGGATTTCAAATATGCGTATCAAAATATTTTTAGGTAGGGCCGGCCCGGTGGCAAACTGAATAAGTGCGCCGCTTGGGAAGCGCGGCAGCGCTCCCGCCTGAGGGTTCGGATCCCACATGCAGACCGGTTCCCGCTCACTGGCTGAGCGAGGCGCGGGAGCAACACCGAGGGTTGCGGTCCCGTTGCCGGACACGGAAAAAAAGACAAAATATATATATATATTTTTAGGTATTTTAGTCTGGCTGCTTATACTTGCTGTATTTATTTAGCAATTTTTATTGGAAAATTCAGTAAGTTTTCTCAGGTTTAGTACATGGGAGTCAGGCACTTGCAAGGTGTTAGGTCAGAAATGGACAGAAGGAACGTACCTGGGCGAGGAAAAGTGGCTGTTCCATGGGAGTGTTAGAGCTGCGAGGTCACAAGAGGAACCGGACGAAAGGCCTCACTCAGGGTGACTTAGAGGCCAAAGGTCAGGCCAAGGGCCCAGCCTCTCTCAGCCACTGAGTGTTTGCTTTGGGAATGTCTGTATGCAACAGAGGAGATATTAGAATATCTCAGGAGCCCAGGGGACAGGGCAAATGGCTGACATTTTTACTAGAAGGGGCCAGTTTGGGCTGGACTGCTGAGGAAAGTGACTTCATTCAGATCAGTAACTCCCCGAGGGAATGAGGAAGAAAAGAGGCGAATCCGAAGGAATC